ATATATATTATATATCTAGTATATCAGATGCTGGGAGATCACTCAAGAAGCCTGGCGTTACTCCCACCTGCCATAGGATATCACAGTTCTCAAGGACTTTTGAGTACTTAGACATCTTGTTCAAGAAAAGTAAGTAGGTTTAAGGAAGGGGACATACCTGCAATCACAGATCCCTACTGCCTTCTCCAATGCCCTTTGTTGTACTTGCTGTCTCCTTCACATGCTCCCAGCAAAGATATTTTCTCAACCAACCCATTTATCCCAACCCCAAGCTCCTCCTGCCTCCCTCCGCAGGTAGTAAAGCATTAGAGAGGAAGGGTTGACCCCCTACCCCATTTACATGACACACATGTCTACCTGCCAGCACTCAGCCTATTTGAGTTAGTGATAGAAACAAACTCACATCCAGTGCCTATGCATGCCTGTGAACACAGCAAACATACATATACCAGCAGAGAGAGTGAGAGAGACAGACAGAGATGGTACAGCCAGGGACCTTGAAATGCCCCCAAAAACAGATGGAAAGAGATGCCTCAGTGATGAGGATTTGACCATTCAGTATCCTCACCAAACACCACCACCCACGCCCCAATCCTGGATAATTTTAGCCCATCTCCAGCCCCATTAGCCCTCTCTCCCCACTATTGCCCTGGAGGGAGCTTCAGGGACTCTAAACTCTGCCGTCCCTGTCCTTCCAAGCCTCTAATACCTCCAGAGAAAGGAAAAAAATGAAGCATCCCCAGAGCCCTTGGACTGACTTCAACAACAATAAAATACATTGGCAGCATATTGAAAGAACAGCAGCCAGTCTGCACTTACATGTTAATTTCTTAGAATGGGACTGGGAGTCCAAGATAAGATTTCTCAGCTAAGCTTTAGACTCTGACCAAGGTCCTGCTCAAGGCTTCTTCCTCGTATGATCTTACCATGACAGGGATTTCTCCACATGCTAATTCCTGGCAAGTCAGAAAGGCAGTGAATCTAAAGATAGAGGATACCAGGAGGTGAGAGACACGGCCAGAAATAGTGATTCTCTCTGCTGACCTCCCAGGCTGTGTGGAGACTGAAGGGTGCTTTCTGCAGGTGCTGCTGGTTCGCAAAATGTTAATGTCCGTTTGGGGAACCGGCTGGGCATTGGAGGGAGACCTCTGCCCTCTCAGGTTATTTCTGACCATTGATCCAAGATAGACGGAAGGCATGCAGGCCAGAGATCGATTGATGCATTCGAGCAGATATAGCTGCTGAGATGGGGAGCTGAGACCAGGATCAGGTGGGGTTGGAAGGCCACAACAGGGGAGCGGAGGATTGCTATTAAACTTGTGGGGCCTCAGGAGGAACTGTTCCCATGGTAGCGTGATGGACCCAATGATGTCCACCCTGGGACAGTTGACCAGTATAACTGGGCATTTTTTGAGATGTGTTATGTGGGTGACCTGAGCAACGTTGGGTGAGGCTCTGTAACAGGGACTACAAGATGAAGATATTTCCATATGCATTTGACCTCTTCCCCCCTCCCTCCTTCCTCCAGATTCGGAGGCGTCGCCCCACCCCTGCCACCCTCGTGCTGACCAGTGACCAGTCCTCCCCAGGTAACCCAAGGGATAGACCTTTGAAAAGAGTAAGGGCTCCTACAGTCAGTTAGATCCCAGAGAGAGAAGGTGGGTGCTAGATAGAAGAAGAACAGATCTGGGGAGTCAGAAACCATCAATCCTGGATGCAGAAGAAGAGGCTAGATATCTTTCTGCTTTTGGAGAAACAGTGTTAGGAAGGAAAGGAAGACCACCTGGTTCCTAAGCTCCCCCACTCCCCAGGAACTGGGGTGGTCAACAGAGTGCTAGTTGCTGTGGCAACAGCCTTCATGAGGTTACTCCAGCAACTGAGATGCTGCTGCCCCCACCCCCAGAGGCAGTGACAGCTGTGAGGGGGAGGACCGCCTCCATCAGCTATCTTCATGGCCCCCAGAGGGGACTGGGAAGGTTAGAAACAGCTCAGGGAGCAGCTGGGATTCTGGTCACTAGTATCCCCATCAAGGTCTGGGAAGACAACAGGCCCAGAGAACATCAGGCAAGCGCAAACTGAAGGCGAGTAAGATAGAATGGAGTTCAGGATGCTTTCTCCAAGTGCCAAAAATTATCATCCCTTCCGGAGCCCTGCACAGGATACATTTGCCATTCTCTGCCCAGAATTGCCTCATAGGCAGGGTTGTATTCTGGACCTGAGGTGAGGAATAGGTAGAAGAAGAAGACACAACTACATCAACGAGAATAAACAAGCAGAAGCACCACAGATCCTCCCTTCATGGACTTCCAGGTCTGAGACAGGAATGAGGACCCACCACAGCCCCAGAGTCAAGGGCAAGACCAGATAATAGCTAGATAAAGCCAGCTGGCAGAGCAGGAGGGGAGCTGAGGTTGGGGTCAGCCATCAGGGCCAAATTCCTGGGGGCATGATGGAAGGGGACAAACAAGAAAGGCAACTGCAGAGTCCCCTCACCTTGGGAAGTCAGCTCTGTGGGGGGCTCCCCAGGATTCCCTGCCATCACCACCTTCTTCATTCCTTATTCTCCTCAGAGATAGATGAAGACCGGATCCCCAACCCACTTCTCAAGGTGAGCCAGCCCTTCTCCCACAAGCCGGCCCAGAGAACCCAATTGTTAAGGGATGAAGTATCCCCCTGTCTCTCCCCCCTTCTGTAGGATATTTGGGTACCCTCTTTCCTGAATCCCCCAAGTGTGTGTGAGTGGATATTCACACATGCCTCCCATACACTCTCATATCCAGTCTTACTGTTCACCAGTGTTGCTTGCTAGGCAAACAGCTTTCTTCTTCCACTTTCTAAAAGCCACACCTACCCCAATCCCCACTCTATGTGCATGCAAGACAGAGGAGGACAGGGAGCTGGGGCTGACACCCACCTGTGCTTTATCTTCTTCACAGTCCACTCTGTCAATGTCTCCACGGCAAAGGAAGAAGGTGACAAGGACCACACCCACCATGAAAGGTTTGAACAGCCCCTTCCCCCACCTGGGTCTGAGGCTGAGGAATAGACCTAATGATTCCTTTAGAAGGAATACTTGGGAAGTCATTAAATCTGTATGTTACAGTGAAGCTGTTACTGGCACTTGAATTTCAGCTCTGCTGCCAAGTAGGTGTATGGCCTTGGGGAAATTGTTTAACCTACTGAGCCTTGAATTCTCCTTCACTGGGGCTGTTACAGGGAACTCTGATGGTGAGTTGCACTGCTAATCAAAGGCTGTAATCCACCAGGAGCTCCAGGGGAGAAAGATAGGCAATCCCCTCCATGATATTTACAGCCTCAGAAACCCACTGGAGGGTCGGCTATATATTAATTCTAACCCCATAGCAGTGAGTGAGTGAGTGAATCGTAGCAAAATAAAATCATACATGTGAACTCCACAAACACAGTGCCCAGCACATAAAAGATACTCAATTCTTTCTTTAATCTAAATTGAGTGCTTTGCCTGACACCAAGGGAGACCATATATCCCAGAAAGTCAGGAGAGGGATTTTGTTCTTACAGTTTTTTTCCCCACATATTTTTTTTCTCGGAAAAAAGGGACTTTTATAGTCTATATTTTGGTAAGGAATCACACTGCAAAACCCAAAGGTATGCAGTTTGAATCTACCAGCTGCTCTGAGGAAGAAAGATGGGTAATCAATTCCTGTGTAATTTACTTCCTCTGAAAACCCACTGAAGGGTTAACAACAGTCAGAGGAGGAAGCTTTCATGGCTGAGTGTTAAATGGAGTGGCACTGCCAACCTGAAGGCATGTAGTTCAAATCCAACAGCTATCTCATGGGAGGAAGATGGGCGGTCTCCTCCTGTGTGATTTACTACTTCTGAAAACCTGATAGAGTGTCAGCTAGGAGTCAGTTCCAACTAGACCCTACATAACAACAACAGTTCCCATCAGGGAGCCCTGGTGACTTAGTGGTAAGGAGCTGTGCTGGCAACCCAAAAGCATTCAAAACTGCCATCTGTCCTGAGGGGGAAAGATGGACGGACAGTCTCCTCCTGTGTGACATATTACCTCTGAAAACTTGCTGGAGGGTCAGCCATGCTGGAGGGTGCATGACAATGACAACATAACAGTTGCCATCAAGGGAGCTCTGGTGGCCTGGTCTGTAAGGAGTTGTGCTTTTAGCACAAAAGTGGTGCATTCGTGGCACCACCAACAGCTCAAGGGAGAAATCTCTTCCTCTGTGCATTAAAGCCTCCTAAAAACCCACTGGAGAACCAACTGTGAGTCAGTTGCAACTTGACAGCAATGAGTTGAGTTTTGAGTTGAGCCATCAAATAAATCCTGACTCACAGTGAGCCCATGTAGAGAAGAACTATATTCCATAAGTTTCCAATGGCTGATTTTTGAGACGTAGACCACCAGACCTTTCTTCCAAGGCACCTCTTGGTAGGCATGAACTTCCAACCTTTTCATCAGAAGTTGAACATGTTAATTGTTTGCACCACCCAGCGTCTCCACTCTAGCTTTTGATGGAGTTGTGAAGTGCTGTCAAGTCAACTACAGCTCATAGCGACCCTGTGAACTACAGGTCGAAATCTTGCCTTATCCTGTGCCTTCCTCCCAGTCTCTGCCATGCTCAAGGCCTTTGTTACACTGTGTCAGTCCATCTCATTAAGGGGTTTCCTTTCTTTCACTAAGACCCTCTGCTTTTCCAAGAATAGTGTTTTTCCAAGGATTGGCGGCATCTCCTGACAACATGCCCAAAGTATGTGAGATGAAGTTTCACTATCCTTGCCTCTAAAGAGCGCTGTGGTTGCACCTGTCTGTTTTTTTGGCAGTCCCTGGTATATTCAATACTCTTTGTCCACACCACATAGTCTGTAAAGAATTGCACTTCTAAGGCAATAGCAACTTCAAAGGAGAAAGAGAGACACCTTCTTCTCAGTCAAGTTGTTGTTGTTGTTGTTGTTGTTTGTTGTTGTTCTGTGCCATCGAGTTGCCCGCAACTCATAGTAACCCTCTGTACAATATACCTGTCCTGAGCCAGTCTGACACCAACACACCAAATCCAATTGTCCCAATTACCATGTTAATCCATCTCATTCAGGGTCTTTCTCTCCTGTACTGTCCCTCCACCCTTCCAAGCATGATGTCCTTCTCCAAGGACTGGTCCCTCCTGGCCATGTGCCCAAAGCATGTGAGACAGAGCTTCAAAATCCTTGCCTTTAAAAAGAAACTTGGCTTCACCTTCTCCAGCTTCCAAAACCCACTGGAGGATCATCTATGAATTAGTTCCACCTTGATGACAATGAGGGAGAGATTTTTTTCCTTTGAATTTCCTTATTCATATGCATTCGAAACAATAGAAAATACCATGCCTTGTGCTAGTCATACCTTAGTCATTAAACCAATGTCTTTGCTCTTTAACACTTTAAAGAGGTTCACTTAAACTCAAATTCATTGCTGCCTAGTCAGAACTGACTCATTACTAATCCTCTAGTGAGTTTCTCAAAGGGTATAAATAGCCAGGAGGAGATTGTCCATCTATCGCCTTCAGAATACTGGTGGATTCTTAAAGATGCTATCCCTCATTATTGTTTTCTTAATGCCCTCTCTTTGTTCAGATCTCAAAAGATGGGAAAGTCTATCAAATACCTGACAGCATGATAGCCCTTTAGTAGTAGACGGCTGGAATTGGGGTTTCACAGGACTGAATCTAGTAGTCAAGTTCAATGCTTCCTCCTTTTCTCTGTTCCCAGAGCTCCAAATGATGGTTGAACATCACCTGGGGCAACAGCAGCAAGGAGAGGAGCCTGAGGGAGCCTCTGAGAGAACGGGGCCCCAGGAGTCCTGCTCATCTGGGATCAAAGACACAGAGTCAAGGCTGAGCACTGCTGGGGCAGCGCAAAGTATGTTCCATCTCGGGAGGGAGACAGGCATCCTGTTCTCCAGTCCAGGAGGGGCAGGGTCTGAATCCTGGGAGAAGTCTAATAGTACCCAGGAACAATACTGAGAGTTGGGGCATATTTGCATGTATTGCATGTATTTATATCTCTTTACAAAAGGACACAGCCCCTCCCAGGACTTATTATTGTAGCTGCATTGAGGAAGTCCTCAATACAGCAGCTCTAGGCTAAAATCCTGACTCTGCCACTTTGCTAGCCAACAGAACTGAAATGATTCAACCTGAGTCTATAAACTAATGGTGGTGCCTATTTCACTGAGTTGGGTAAAAATTAAATGACATTGAGTCTTACACCAGCACCTGCAACAAAGAAAGCATACAATAACAAAAGCTGGCAATGATGGTGTTAATATATGTCTACAGTCCCTCATTTCTGATATATTTCAGAGCTCAGAATTTCCTTGGCTACTTTAAGAAACTGATAGAAATGCATATACTGTGTATTACACAGTACCCCCCATAGAGTACCCAGTAATTGAACACATAAGTATTTCTAAAAGCCAGTGAATGCTACAATTAGTGGGATAAATAAAGTCTATAAATAGCCTATCAGTTCAGATCAGGTTGAAATGGGGGAAAATATTTTCTTAAATTTCTAATTGCACATAAAAAAATAATGAACCTGTAGTAGGAATTATGATCAACATGAATCCTGTTAGTCTTGTCCAATTGCTTCCAGCTTGGATCTGAGCCTCTATAAGGTCATTAGGGCATGAGGGAAGGTCAACAGAAACACCCCTCTCTGCAAAGCTTCCATGGATACTACTCTCCTTTCCCCTCCCCACTTCCCTCCACAGAGCCTGCCGGAACCAGCCCTAAAACTCAGGAGAGGGACAGTAAGGAACCAGGCAAAGAAGAGCCCTCCAAGCATACACAGCCATTGGATTCCCAAGGAGCCAACTCGGTAAGACCCCAGGTGGTCGGCTGGTGTACCTGAGAGCCAGGCAGTGTGGAAGGAGCAGGAGGGAAGGGAGTAAAAGACCAGCATCAGTCACCAAGAATTTATTCTATACGTTTAGAGAACAGACTTTGTCTCCGGCAAGCAAACAATGAGAAACGGGATTAAGCTGCAGCAGAAAGGATTGAGGTTAATTTTATGTAGGGCTTCTAGCTCCTGGAATGGGTGATGGAAGCAGGCCAAGGACTTTTTCAGTAAAGGGTATTTGGAACCCAAAGAGAGAGCTCCTCACTTAAACCCAGGGAGCAGTGGTTCTGCTGGAGGTGGAAGCAACTGATGAAAAGCCTGAATTTTGCTTTAATAACTCACATTCTCCCTGCATAGAATGGACAAGGAGGCAGAGGCTGATACCCGACATGAGAACAACCATCCCAGAAGTTAGATGCTTGATGAAGGGGATGGTTTGGGAGACTCAGCAGGGGAGAGAACCCTCCAAGACCCTGTGACCTCTCCCTCACCTTCTCCTTCTGTCCTCTCATTTCTCACTGCCCATCAGGTCTAAGTGTGAAGAAGTTGTCCCGGAACCATGACTGCAGCTCGGGAAGGCATGGACACTGAATTTGTTTATTACTTCACTTTTGGGGAAAATCTCGTTTTTAAAATGTGATAAATTTGGTGTTAGGTCTTTGGCATTTTTCTTCTTTCCAGATTTGGAGAATCCTGTCCACCCTGTCTGTACCTTCCCACACCCCTGCCCAGGGCCCTCTGGGGAACAAGTAGCAGATGGGGCAGGATCTTGAGGAGGGAGAAGTTCTTTCCCTAAACCTGCCTAGACTTCCTGCAAAAAGAAAGGTGGGGGTTAGCTAGGTGAGGTAACTAACCTTCAGTGTGTCGAGAAAGCAGGTGACTTCAGGTTCTCATTTCTAATTGAAGACCACCTGACACAGCTGCTTGCAACTGGAAGCCTTGGCGCTCTCTCCAGCTATGTCTGTGCTGTGGGTGCCGTCTGCTGGACAAAGGCGAGAACTGCACCCTGGCAGTTCAAGGGAAGGTGGGTTTGGGTGACTGCCTCTTTGATAAAAGGGAACTCTGGTGGTGTTGTCTGCACGAAGTTGTGCTGCTAGCCCAAAGGCAGCCCTTCTGTGGCAATTCAAACCCACCTGTGGTTTTGCAGGAGAAAGACGGGCAATCTCCTCTCATGTGATTTACAGCCTCCTGAAAACCCAGGGGAAGATCAGCTCTGAGTTGGTTCCAATTGGACAGCAATGGGATTTTTGGTTCTTTGACAAAGGGGAGAACCACACCCTGGAAATTCTAAGGAAAGGATGGGAGATTGTGTTGGGTGGCTGCCTCTTTGCCAGCCCTTCAGGCTCTGGCTGTCTTTGTTTTGGATGTCAAAGCTCTGGTGTATGTTTTCCCCCCCTCCCCCCATCCTGCTACAAGGAGATCACGCCCCTTATTCTAATCCCTGAGAATTCACTCCATTAGCAAAAATGGACTGAGAATAGAGTGGTTGTTAAAGAAGGGGTCCTGGCTAGAACTGGGAGGTTAATCACCCGCCCACCCCCTTGTTCTCACCCCTCCCTTGTCCTCAACACTAAGGGGCCAGGGTGAAAGAAAAAAGTCATTCAGAGGTGAAAAAACTTGCACAGGCCTCACAGCTGGACCTCACCACCCACTGCTTTTGATTCTTCCAGGGAAAACTTCTCAGAAAGGCTGGGTTCAGTGGAAGAGGAAAGGTTAAGCTATTGAAGAAGGGGCGGAGTGTCAGCCCTTCTGTTATGTACCTTTTGTGTACCCTTGGCCGTGACTTCAACCCTCAGAACCTCACCTGTATAATCAGAATACCTCACCAGGTATTACCAAGCTTAAAGGAGAGTATGTACATGAAGGCACTGGGTAAAACACTACACATGGTCAGGCCCAGTCTCCTTTCTTTATTGATCTCTGGCTATAACAGGAGTCTGGGAGACCAATGGCAGGAGTGAATCACATGCGTCTCTGCCCCACGTGGGGTGGGGTGGGAAGGACAAGTGTCAGGGACCATGGATATGGACTTCACACGAACAGAGCCCACTGTACAAATGCATGGTTGGTATTTACAAGAAAGGAGGAGGGCAGTCACCTGGACTTTGGCCTACCTTGGGGCAAGGAGGGGGCAAGGAGAAGCCTGAGGAGAGGAATGGGCATTGGCCTGGCTAGGCTCCATTCAGAGGCCTTGACAGTAGTAGCCCTGAGGCCCTCCCCCATCAGCCTTCCACCAGCCACTCTCCATTTGTCCCAGGGGAAGGAAGGGCCTCTTGGTGCCTACACCTGGGCCAGTTCAGGGGGTTGGAGGAGAAGAGGGACCTTCTCTGTAACAACACCGAATTATTGGATTATACCTCACCCTCCCCACTGCACCCCTGACCCCCTCAACTGGTTTCCTGCCTGTGCTGCTCATAAGATACATCCTGAAGGTGCTTTGCTGGGGAGACCTCAAAGCACGTTACAGACATTGGTCGGATGGGAGCCTCCCAGTCCCAGTGGGGAAAGGCAGGAAGCAAAGGGCTCAGAACTTAGCCAGAACAGGTGACAAGTCCCGGGGCCACAGACCAATCCTAAACTCCTAAGGAGTCCAGAAAGACTCCCTTCAGTCCCTAGCCCCAGCAGCTCCTCTCTTCCTCAGTCTCCATTTAGGAACAGGGGACAGAGAAGACTATAGAGGGACCAGCTGGGGATTGAACTGAAGCAGTGCAGGTCTGGGGTGAAAAGGATGTCCCCCATTCAAAGGCCCTAAAAAAGGTACTATGCCCTGAAGGAGCCCACTTCCCTTCCCAAATGTAAGGGCTCTGAAAACCCTCAGCTTTCTGTCCTATTCCAGCCTCTCCCAGGGGAGAAGGGGGACCCAGACCTTCCAGCTAAGATCTGGGGTGGGGGGCTGAGGGAACCCCCAAAATGTATTGCTTAGAAACTTGGAGGCAAAAAGGATGGGGGAAGGCCAGGGGGGCTGGCATCTCTGACCCTCCCCACAAGCCCTGGGAAACCTCTGGGAAGCTCCCCCTCCTAGCCAGACAATTGACCAAGGGGGAAGTCCAGAAGCAGGGGGATGGGCACAGTGACCACTGGGAGCCGGAAGTTTCCCAGTCTTGCTGCCAGGAGATTAAAGAGTGTCCCAATGGGCTTCAGGTGGGGAGGGGCCCCTCCCCCAACCCCACAATCTCTGGTATTTGGCCTTCAGTGGGTTATCTGTTCCACGACCTCTGGGCTCCCTTGGAGCTGATGGGGGAGCCAGTCCCGATGGATGGTGCTGATGACATCGAAGACTTTAGACTCAATGAGAACCTAGGAAAGATGAAAAGAAGTCTTAGGACTGATTTTCTCCCCCTTTCTTTCTAACTTGGCTTACCCTCTCAAAGTCTTGGTGGGCCCCCAAGGCTACCCAACCAGGAGTGTGAGTGGGCTGAAATCAGCGCCATGCTCAGCTGACCTCACTGGGCCTTCTGCCCTAGGCATCTTCCTTTCTCCTAACTCCTACCTTGTGCTGTACGGTTAATTATAGCCTTGCTCAGTCCCTAGCCTAGTCAGCATTTGTTCTGAGGAACCATCCCTTTTTTTCTTCAGGGACTGTGGGTCAGGAGAGGACTTCCCTACTTCTCACTCATGCCTAGGCTCAGTTGCAGGTTTTCACTTCCCCATTGTCCTGCCGAGAAATAGACTTCATATCTGCTGGACTGCATAGATGACCCAACAAGGAGGCCAGGGTGGACGCTCTGCTCTTAAGACTCTCTCCCCCCATACCCTTCACCACCACATGCTCACCTGGGCTACCCCAGGGCTAGTCCAGATTCCCATTCTGGTTGTGCTCATCTTCAGCAGGAGAGGATGGGGCCTCTTCCTCCTCACATGGGGACAGCCCATCAATGGACATCTGATTGGTGATGCCTACAGAGGTCCAAGAAGGAAACTGAGGTCAGACCATGGAGTATTTTCCTTAGAACCCAATGAGCATGTGAGAAAAGAAGAGGGTTCTCCTCCATCCTCTTGCCATCCAGCTGAGCTACGCTCAACCTCTGGCTACTTGCAGAGAGCCTCGCCAGCACTGCTAAAATTCCCAGCCCTTAACCTATGGGTAAAAGACGAGATTTTCCCCATCAGGGCCACTAGGATGCCTTCGTGAAATCCCTGGGTTTATACACTATGGCTATCTCTAGTCTCTCTCCAAGGACCACTGGTGGCTCAAAGGTTTAGCACTCAGTTAACCAAAAGGGCCAGTGACTTGAGCCCTCAGGCTGTTCCATTGAAGATGTGCTGGTCTGCTTTCACAAACACTGAGAGCCTTGAAAATCCTGTGGCACAGTTTTACTCTGTCCTATCCAATTCCTAAAAACATGTCTCTGGAAACTCTGTGAACTTTGAAAACAATGATACTTATAGAAAGGCCTCAGGTCTTTTGTTCATAGGGCCGCTATGAGTCATGCTTAACTTGACGGCAATCAACAATAACAACGTAGGGTAACTCACTATGAGTCAGAATCAACAGCAAAAGGGTATCTCCTCTCCAGCCCCCATTCTAGAACAGTCCACGCCACTCAGCCAGGCTCTCCTGCAATCTACTTTGAGTCTGAATGGCTCCTTTCCCCACCTTAGGACTCCAAGGGTTGCTCCAGAGGCTTAAGGAAATGGACCTGCTACCACTCCGTTACATCTGTACCCACAAGGTCTCATCCCAGCCCCAGCGGTACCCACCACTTGCTGCCCGTTCCTTCCATTTCTGCTTGTTCTCCTGAATGTACTTGGTCCAAGTGGAGCGGAAGCTGACCACATCAGGGTTGGGCTCTCCCACTTCCACATCCAGAGAAGGCTGACGCCACTGGAAGCTGGAATCAGGACACCACACACACATACACATGACTCCAGAAGGGAGCCCCCACTAACTCTGGAGCGACTTTGATAGGCCTCAGATGGCAGGGTGGAGGATGGATGGTTAGGAATAGGTTTACTGAGTGAACCTAGTTGTCCTCCTCTTTTTACTCTACTAGCTATACCCCAAGATCCTGTACTTCTCTTGCCCAATTTCACCCCTTTTTCTACACCTTCCCTCCTGGTAAAAGGAAACTAGAAAACAAGGTTAGTGGGAAGGCAGTGGAGGCAGTACTGAAGAGAGGATGCAACAAAACGGAGGAACAGGGGAGGGAAATGCAGGTGTAGGCCACACCCTTCTGGTCCCATCCTAGGTGACAAGTGGTAGAAAATCTACATAAATACTAAGTCTGCTTCTCCTCCACCCTAGCCATGGAGGTCCCTCCTCCCTATGAGTCAAACTTCTGAGCAGACTTCCCCTCCTGAGAACCAGGAGCTCTAGCACCCCAGCCACCCTCACCTGGGCTGGTTTTTAGACTTGGCGTCATCATCCCCCTGGGGTTGCACACTCTTCTCTGCCACATCAGTGAGTACAGAGAATGTGGGCTCCACAATGAAGTCAATGAAACCTGCAATGAAGAAAATCACAGTGGCATTCTCCTGCCCATAGAGCTTGGCAGAGCCCACAGCTGGCATGGCCCTGACACCAGATGCAGGTAAAACAGGACAGAGAGGCAACACAGAGCTAGGAAGTTCCCGATGGGGCCAGGATTTAAAGATGTCTTCGCAACCCCAGAGAACTCCCCTTCATCCCTCCAGCCTCCACCCCAGAAGCTATGCTCTGGCACAGGAGCTTTGGCCTGATGGGAATGATGGTTCTAGTGTGTGAAACCTGGAGGAAAGGGCACTCACCGATCTGAGACTGTGCCACCAGGGTGGAAGTGCGATCGCAGAGAGGCGAGAAGGGCAGGCCCAGCTCTGCCTCCTTGTCACCCTGGGGGAGAGAGGGCACAGTAGAAAAGCTCCGAGAGTTATCCAAGACCTACCAATCCGGAGTGAGGGTGCGGTGGTGGGGGTTCATTATGGAGAAAAGGAACTTCTATGCATTTTATCAGGAAATAAGAGATCAGCAAATTAGTACTGGCAATTATTGCAAAGGATAATGAGATTTTATCCAGTGGAATCAGGTCTGAATCTACAGGTAGTTAATGAAGGTACAGGGTTCAAGGAACTTAGAAAGAAAATGGACACAGAATGAGCATAATGATAGGCAAAGAGACCAAGCTACCTGACGGAAGAATTCCTCCATGAGGGCCTTGGTCCAGCGGCTGTGGACTGACCACTGTTTGGTTGGGTGGCTAATGTCAGCAGCATGGAGCAATAGTGATAGGGCCTTGGGCTTGTCAATCCTGGGGACAAGTGGTAAGAGAAGGAAGACTGATCTTTTAGGAAAAGTATCTTGAACCATTACCTAACTTCCCTCCATATGCTTCTCCCACCTACATACAAACATCCTTTCATAAACTTCAAACATCCTCTGATTCTGTGTACACACACACATACATATACTTTAAATATATTTTTATATAAGGGGGATAAGGAGCTCTGGTAGCTTAGTGGCAAGAAGCTGTGCTACAATCGCAAAAACACACCATTCAAGACCACCAGCTGCTCCACAGGAGAAGGAAGGGCAATTTCCTCCCATGCTATTAACTGCCTCTGAAAACCCACTGGAGTGTCAGCTATGGGTTGGGTCTGACTCGACGGTACACAAAAACATAAGGAGGATAGCACAGGTTAGTAGCTGAAAGCCTAGTCTCTTAGACTCAGAGGACCTGAATTATAATATCCACTGTACACACTGCACACTAGCTGTGTGACTCTCAGAAAGTTGCCTGAAATTTCCACCTCAAAATTTCCTCAATCCAAAAATAATAACAGAATCTACCACATTCGGAAGATTAAATGACATAAATACTTTGAAGTATGTCTGGTGCATAGTAAATGCTCCGTAGATTTATAATTATTATTATCATCACTATTATTATTTCCCCAACAATGACACATTCACTCACTCCCATACACAGACACCACACACAGAGATGAACACACCTTCAGGGCACACACAGTCTATTCTCTCTAATACACATTTGTATACTCCCACCCACTTCTGAGCAACATTATATGTAATTACGGCATTTGTTCTGTGCTTTCTTTTTACCTCACATGACTCTCCCAATAGCCCGGTTAGAGCAGGGACTAGCAGCAAGCTATTGAGGAAGAAGGCATTTTATTTTGACTATTTCACAGGTAAGGAAACTGGAATTCAAAAAGGTTGGGTGGATTTCCCAACATTCTAGAGTAAACCTGTCCTGAAGCTGAGACAAGAACCCCAACTCAGACTCCCAGTTTAAAACCTTCTCCAGCAGACCAGCTGTCTGGGCTGTACATGAATAAACCCAGAATACACCACATACATACCAGATAAGCATTCAGATGTCTGAAGCCAATAGAGTCTCCACACCCAGTAAAGACCTGGCAAACCAATCGCCCAATGTATATGCTCCCAATTCATACACCTCTCACTCTGGCCTGGTCCCAGACAGCCCCATCACGTGGTACCTCTCCAACTGCTGCAAGGCTGTCTTCATGGACTTCACTTGCTGGAAATGGCAGGACATATCTGTGGCCAACACCATCTCAATGACCAGGGCACGCAGCTCTCTGTATGAACAGAATCAAAGAAAGGTTCAGCTCCCTCTTTTCAGCTGAGGAGGAAGCCTAAACTTAGGTAGTGGAAAGAGTGTTGGGGTGGTGGGTTTCTTAGGCTTGTCAAGTCCTGGTCTGCTCACACAAACTCATCCCGGGTGAGGTTAATGAAAATGTTCATCTCGTCATCTTGCATCATTCGGAAGACAGAACTGATGTGGTGGTTCTCCAGCACTGAGCGATCATTGTACAGGATTGCACATTCTGACCTGCAGGATCAAAGGACACTGTATCCACCCCTTGGAAGAGGAAACTCTGGATACCTCCCCCATCTCTTATTTGGCCCCACCTTGCCCCTGCCACGTCCCCACCCCTCACTTGGTCTGAATGTGGAAGCTGTTGGTGGTGCCTGTGTGCTCATAGTCGTGGATGGCTGCAGCAAAGATGATGGCCAAGACCTCAATCTCTGACAGGCAGTGCTAGGAGAAAATGATGGGATTAGAAAAGGCTGACCCCTACCAGTCACCACCCAAAGACTTCCACACGGAGCAGACCATTCTGTTTGCTCCATTCTTCAAAGCCAGTTCTTGGGCTGGCTTTCAGTCTGCATTCTCTACCCTGCAATAGTCATGCATCTTCCTCTATCCCAGCCTTCAACAGCTCCGCTGTACCCCAGCATATCCGGGAAGTTACAGTCACCAAAAAATCTACTAGAGTTGAGGCAACATAATTTGACTCTGTAAAGATTCTAGGATACCAAAAGAGAAAAATAGGAATGGAAGAACAATCTAGACTCCCCCACCCCAGTTCCCCAGTTTCATAGCCAGAAGGCCCTGAATCACAATTGTCATTTCCAGGGCACCTACCACCATCCCTGTGCGGAGCAAGAAACAGTGGACTGTCTGGGTAACGTCAGCTGCATGAATCTGGTTGTGGTAAGGATTCTTGTACTTCCCATAGCCTGTCTCCAAAGCATCCAAGAAAGTCATCAGAAACACAGTGGGAATCTGTAGGAAGCAGAGAGAAAGGGAGATCAGCCCAAGACCTACAGAAATGGTAGGATCCAGGGGGCTGAGATTAGCAATATTATCTCATTAAAAGGCAAAGGGGCAGAGAAAGAGCACATAGGTCCTGCCTGCTGGAGGACCTGGCCTCATGGCCTGGCTCTACCACCTACAGACTGTGTAACCTTGAGAAAGTCATGGGGCCTCCCCTCTGCTTCAAGTACTTATTTGCAGAATGAGGATAATACCACCTACCTTGAATTTAATAAGATAAGTAGAAAGCAATGAATAAATGCTCTCTAAAGAGTAGCTATAATTATTACTATTTCCCTGGAGATTTTTAGGAAAAATAAAGCTTGCCTCCTACCTTTCAATCAGCCCACCTCCAAATCAAATATGTTTGGAGAAAGACTCAGAAGCAGAAGAAAGAATAAGATAACCCGAAGGGGACTCTTCCAACCAGATATGGAGCATTTCCTCCTCTGAAAATCCTCCCCTGACTACCATACTGTGCAAGCACCTGGGCCCTGAACTCTGTCTAGCTACTCTCAATTCTGTCCATAGCTTTGGGGTCATAGACTTGGATATGCCTGTCTTCTTCAAAAGACTTATGGCTCCCAAAGGGAAGGCTGGTGACTTAAGAGAGCTTGAGGGTCCCAAAGCCAAGGCTGGTATCTTCACCTGCCCTGGATCTCTTGAGGCTAGAGGTGACTGAGGTTAGAGACTTGGGTACTCTTATGTAGAGAGGAACAGTAAAGAAGGATGTTCCACTGGTCTATCAAAACCTTACATTCCCCACCCCTTCCCTGGAAGGCTGTGCCCCCAAATCATCTATAAGACCTTTACATTACCCCCACCCCCACCCCTGGAGGGCTGTGCCCCAAATTCAGGGAATTTTAAAGGACTGTTTCCATAACAACTGCCCTTGCTTTTGCGTTGCCATGGTATTCCTGGAAGGAAGGGAAGGGGAGTAGCAGGGGAGGGGCGAAAATGCCCAGGAAGAGAATATGGAGCTTGAAAAGATCTCTACCAGCAGAGAAAGCTAAACCAATGAGCACACCTGCTTTTCTTAGTGCCTTGAAGTAAGGCAGACAGGCTGAGCCAACTCCAGCCTCATGCAGCCACTCTTGGGGTACTTAAAACTCTGTCTTTCCAGATAAGGAAGAAGAGTTCAGAAGAATCTGGTGTCTGGAGTATATCTGACAATCAGTTTGAAGAAACATGAGCTGAGAAAAGTCTTAGGGGAAAGTGGATCCCGTTTTTCTCTGTCCTGGAGAGGGCGGGATTGGTGGCCAGATAATGGAACACAGGCAAGCCTCAGGCAGGCATGAAGAAGATCCCAACTGAGCATCTCAGGGACATTTTGAAAATAGTCTTAGGAGTGCTGGAAGGAAAAGGTGTCAAAGATCTAGAAAAATGTCACTTCACAACACATCTGTCATAGTCAAATGGAGACAGAAGGGTGACTGGGTTGACTTTCAAAGCCTGTCTGGGAGCAGACATTACAACTGTCCAGCCCCCTGACCAGCCCTTCCACAGCTCTCTCAGAATATGCATGCTTTCTCTCACTGCCTGTTCCAACCTGAATGCTGGCCAAACATCCCTTTCTGTGACTTTTTCACCCTTACACTCCCTCCAAATGTGGGTTTTCATGTGGAAGTGTTGGTGTTATTCTCCCCTCACTTTATCACCAAAAGATGCTTCTAAATTACATATTATCTGGAGAAATTTAATCCCATATCCTTCCAAATTGCTAGCCAAAACACTGAGCAAATGGAGTTCACACACCCTTCTACAGCCGCATCCCAGCCCTGCCGCCCTGCCGAGAGCGAATCCTCTCTATAACATTCCTTGGACAGAGACCAGAGCTATGGGGAACAGGAGGAAGTGGCCAACTTTGTTTTCCTCTGAACAGTCTCCTGAGGAAACAAATTGAGAGACTCTGGTCTCAAAGGGCACCAGCTGACAGCATTTAGACTCCAAGCCTCCATCTCCACAGGCAAGGGCAGGACAGCTGAAAAGGGAGGTGAGCTTCATGCCATCCTGGAGAGGACAAGTTAGAGAAAGAAGGTAAAGGGAGCAAGAGTGGAATCCAGGCTAGATGACTTCAGACCCAGACTCTCCCCTTAGAAAGCAGTAAATGAAAGAAGTCAGAGGCCCGGACAGCAGCAAGAGAAATGCTGACTAAACTTGGAGGTGAGCCGCTTCCATGGTGAGGACTGAGTGAGGAAGCATACAAATCTACTAGACTTCTTTTAGAAGAAGATTCCTAGGAGAGGAGAATGGTAGAATGAGGCAGGTTACCTTGAAGCGGCTGATGAGGCTATGCCGAGTCAGCAGCTCAAAAACAATGGTCCTCAGGGCGTGGTCATCTGCTGCCCGGTTCAAGGAAAAGACATCAAAGCACCAGAGGTCCAAATTCTGTGGAGAAACAACAGACCAGTAACTCTCTAGAGGAGCATCTCAGCAGCAGGAAGAGCTGACATTAGAACCCAAGGAGAACTTCCCAAGGAGCACAGAAACTCGAGAGGTAGGAAAACAGAAGGCCATAAAATGGGCCTCTCTTTTTCCCCAAGTATTTTTCAATATGGGGGAGAGAACATGACAAGGGTTTGCCTCTAGAACAGGCAAAAGTTGTTTGTGGAACATGGGAATGATGGCTAAAAAGGACAGTTAAAGTCAGGCATGGTATAAACAGAGTCTGGAACTCCCAGTGACTATTCCTTGACCCAACCTTTTCCTCTTTCCCAAAAACCAGAGGTCACCTTAAGACAGTGGAGGACCGCAGTGGAATAGGTGGGACCCACAGCTGTGTACGTTCTTCGGAACATCCTATGGAATGGTAAAGAAAAGAAGTCCAGGTGTGATGGTCCGAGAGGTAAGGGTCTGGGCAGGTAAGGGTATAAGGATGAGCCACATGGGATTATATAGCCGGTAGGGCCCTGGAAGACTAGGATGTCTTAGAAAGGGGCACAGCTGAGAAAGAAGGAAATGAGCGTGGACAAGCCTCACCGTTCCACAAAGATCCCAGCCTGCACTGCGTGCACGATGCTTCGAAACTTGGGTTTCTCCTCCGCTCGCCGGCCTTTGGCTCGGGCTTGCTGGGTAAAGGTGGAGGCCAGCCAGTCTCGAACCTCCGAAGGCACAGCATCTGACCGTAGCTCCTGCAGCTCATCCTCCGTGTCTAAGATTTGCCTGAGATCCCAAAAGACAGTCACAGAGGAAAGACAATAGCCAGGACACCTGGCCTCAGCTACACCCACACCTTAGTAAACCTTCTCTTGCTTTGTCTTTTTCTTTCTGCTTCTTTATCTCACACCTCCAGTTAGGAAATGGGTCACTAGGTGAGGCAGTAACATCCTAACTCTTAAAGTGTTCAAGTAGGCAATGTGATACTCCCTGTCAAGGAGGCTACCAAACAGTAAACTCCAATGGCAGCAGATTCAAGTCACAAAAACACTTTTCCATTTTCTTATAAGTTCACTAAAAAGATGCAAAGAAATAGGTGCAATTTAGTTAACTTACTTTTTTCTCCCAAAGATTTTAAAATCTAGTGTGTATTTTTACATATGCAGCTCAATTTGGCTAGCCACATTTCAAGTGTTTAATTAAAAAAAAAAATGCAAACCCCACACCATGTGCTTAATTTTAAAAAAGAAAAACAAAACATGAACTCTCAAACTCATCGCCATCAAAGAGGAGCCTACTCGCGGGTTCCTGAGGCTGTAAACTGAACAGAAGGTAACAACTCATCTTTCTTCCAAGAAGCTGCTGGTGGATTTGAACCATCATAGAAGTGCCACCTCTGGGTTAGCAACACAACTCCCTAGGGGCTACACCACCAGAGCTCTGACTGCTCCTATTGAATTGAGAGCAGCTCTAGAGGAATTCCTACACTAGGCAGAAGGCTGGGACCAGGTATGCATTAAGTTCCTTCTCATTCTGAAATGAGCTGCTCTGCTTACTGAGATCTATGTGTTTCTTTTTCCATTTCTCTATCTGTCCCTCTCCTTCTTTATCTCAGTCAGCACTACTACCTACAGATCTTCCTTCCACTCCATTTCTCCCTGCCTCTGTCCCTGTCACGTGTTCCTCTCTCCAGCTTTCTCTCTTGCTCTCCACCTCTGAATCCCTGTGTCTGTCTGAAATCTTCCTCCATCCCTGCACATAGGTTTTTCCCGGTAGCCCAGCATCACCCTCTCACCGTGTCTCATCTATGTAGACGGCCTCCAACAGAGAAGCCGTGTACTCCAGGTTTTTCTTCAGCTCCTCGATGTTCACCTCCCCATTCTCCAACTGCTTCACCATGTAGCGCAACCTGTGGGGAGTGGGCACAGATCTCCCACTTAGGCACTTCCACCTTGTCATGAGATCAGAAGGCGCTCAAATAGGGTGTGTTTTACAGAGAGAGTCTGTCTTCCATAAATAAGAAATAATTCAAGAAAAAAATTAGAGCAGCTAGTGTATTTGATCTTAGGTTCTTGACAGCCACTGTATTATGTTTACCTAGCCCCAAAATTTCATTTTCCTAACTCTGCCATCCTCTTTGTCAGTATTTCCTACAAACTCTTGCTTAAACTGCCCAGGCCCAAGGGAATTAAGCAGGCACACATTTCACAGGTGATATTTTGAGGATGATCTATTTTATTGTCTGAAATAACCACAAGCTAAAACTGTGTATTTCCTCCATGGTAGAGGATGTTAGGATCAACAGCAATCAGAACAGCCCCCAATATTCTTTCTCTCGGTCACGGTAGGGAGGGGAGTACATAGCCACAGTCTCTCTGTCCTTGGCAGGGACAGCAGAGACACAGAACAAAGACCAATATGAAATGCTTTCACCCAGCCTCACTCCATCCAGGCAGAGCTAATGGATTATGATTCCAGAATCCATCAGCCAGGATAAAGCAAGATTAACCCCTGCCTCCCCAGTCTTTGCAAGGGAGGACCTTTGCCAGTGGGTTCCAGCCTCCCTGACAGGCAGTCACAGCTTACACCAGGAGCAAAAGTGGTAGGGGAGGTGGAGCCAGAGAGGAGAGGATTTCATTTACTGGATGCTTTGCCTGAAGGGACAGGTCTCTCATATTTTGTGCTTATGAATTCTAAAGGGTGGTGATTAACTGGGAGGTGTCTTAGAAGTCTAGCCAGTCCAGCCCAGGCAGTCAGCAAGCAATGTTCTCAGATATTAGATGATGGTTTTTAAAATAAATAAATAAATAAGCATTTCCTTTTCTTGCTCTTTCTCCCAGCCCTACCCTACTTTTAAAACCAGTGGAGTGAGAACAGTGGCCATCACAAGTCCCCACAAAGAGGGGCTTCAGAAACCCAAGGTCACCCTATGAGTCAGGAAGCGAATGAGTCAGGGACCAAAGGCTGAAATTAGCATCAATTCCCAGGGAAGCCGGGGGAGGGAGAACAATGGCATTCCTGAACAGAACGGAGCTCTAGAATCCTGGGGTCTTTGCAGCTCTAGAAGAGAGGGTGCCCAAAATAGCCAGCCCAGAAAACATCACAGGTCAGCTTTCACCTCAGGACCCAGCAGCCTAACAGCACTGAAAGGAAATGGAAGAGAAGGAAAGGGGTAAAGATGGGGCAGCAGGCCCCTGAGTGGTTTATCTTCAAATCTTACTTCCAGCCTTTCTGCTCTACTGTCTCCAAGTGGAGACAGCAGGTTGTTTAGCAAGGAATGACGTGAATTTAGAGGTTTTAGTAAAGGTGGGCACCAGTTCAGGCTTAATAGAGAAGATAAATGGATGCTGGACAACATAAAAGACTTTCTGAGCCATAGGAAAGGATGTACAGAACTGGTCTCTCCCAGCATACTCAGAGATCACAGAACAAAAAGGTACACTCTGCCTTCAGGGCTAGACACAAGCATGGACACCCCTTTTCTGGTTATTTCCCTCAGAGAAGGAGTTTCAAACCTGGGGACACACAGCCTAAGAAAGGTCTCTGCTGCCTCTGCTTCCATCATTCCTGCATGTTCCCAAGGCAGCGCTAAGCTTCCACTTCATTCAATCTCTGGAGGTCAAGTCCCAGCACTTCAATTCCTCCAGTTTGATTCTCAACTCACCACTCATGCATCCCAAAGTGCAGAGGCTCCCACAGTGAACAGCCAAACCCACGAGTGCTCATCTGCATGTATTCACAGAATCACTAACAAAGTTGCCAGCTCTACATTTTAAAAAGCGACTGCTCCTACATCATCTCATTTTAGCTTCACAATGGGCCATGAGGGAGGGAGGCGGGCAGGAATTGCTATTGCCATTTCTAAGGCTGAAACCACAGCTTAGGAGCATCTCTGTGCTGAGTGCTGGCCTAGGAGCAGGAATCTTGGGCTAGGAGTCCTTGGGCAAGTCACAGATGTAACAGATTGTCCTGGGAAGAACAAGGAAAACTGGAAATAAAAATTCAGAACCAAAGTAACAGTGTTATTTGCTATACTACCATTAACTTGCATAAATTATTTTTTGTGTAGCCAATACATAGTCTTCCATACGAAATCCATGCTGCTGGTTTGTTGGATACGACTTCGTAAACACTATTTCCAAGTGCTCTGTTGTTGTTAAGGGCAATCAAGTCAATTCTGACTCATAGCAACCTTATGTACAACAGATGGAAACCAGGCTTAATTCTGCATCAGCCTTGCAATTTCTACCATGATTAAATCCACTGTTGTAGTCACTCCATCTGATTGGAGTTTTCCTCTCCTTTGCTGACCCTCTCTTTTTCCATCTTTGCCTTTTTCTAAGGACTGGTCAGTGCCACCTAATAACATTCCCAAAGTATGCAAGACAGTAACCATTTCCATGAAATGACCTTGTCCTTTGAAACAAGTAATTACTTCATTATCTTTTTTTACTTTCATTGTTGTGGTTTGAGTGTGGGTCTTACTTGAACAAGCTACATTTAGCATATATTGGGACCCACCATGGCTGGACAAGTCCCGTAGGGATGGATGTTCCTAGGAGGTGCCCAGGTCAGAGCAGTGACGATCTGCTAAGGGGTAGGCCAACCACCAGCCTCTTTTCTTTGTGAAACTTAATAACTCTTAATAAAATTTGTATTTAGTGTGCGCGCAAACACACACATACCAGCATCAGAATCACCTAAGATACAAGTTAAAGATTTAGGGTCTAAGTGTGGCCAGTTAGCTCAGTTGATTAGGTTATGGGGCTGATAAAGATACAGTCCCTACTTCACACTTTCTGAACTAGAATCCCTAAGGACATGTCCAGAGATAGGCATTTTTAACAAGCATCCCAGATTATTTTAATGCACGTTAAAATCTGAGAGTCATTATTTATAGTTTCGTTTTTTTTCATTGATAAAATACACAGATGGTTATAGACCAGCATGGCAGGAGTGTTAATAAGATAATTAAATGAAATCATAGATCCAAAAGGGCCTAGGAGAGCTCTAAGCACATACAAATGAGATCTGCATTAGAATGAACTTATCAGCATGGTGTTGGGACTACCGACCCACATTGCTTGCCCTTCAAACCCACCAGGACTTTACTTCTCTCTCCCACGATCAGACAGGGAAGAGGGAGTCTAGGTTACATGCAAATTGCTATCAACTTGATTCTGATTCAAAGCAACACCACACATGTCAGAGTAGAGCTGTGATCCATAGAGTTTTCCATGATTGATTTTTTGCAAGTAGGTCACTAAGCCCCACTTCTGAGGAACCTCTCACTTAGTCACTGCAAAGAGTCCGTGTCCCTTCATAGTGACCCTCCACACTGTGACTGAGAGGTGCCTCAGAAGTGGGCCTTCGTTTCCAAGGCTATAAATCACACAGGAAGGTCTTACCCATCTTTCCCCTGAGGAGCCACCAGTGAATTTTAACCATCAGAGAAGCTTGGTTCTTTGGGTTAGCAGCGCACTTCACTATGGATTACCCCACCAGAGCTCCCTAAAGCACCCCCTCTTGTTGTCATAAGCCATTGAGTCAAAACCAACCAATAGCTCACCCTCCATTTGGTTTTCTGAGGCAGTTAAATTAAAGATGAGAGTAGAATGCCCATCTTTGTGAAAGCACCACTAGGTGGACTCAAATCTCTAACTTTTTATCAACAGCATAGCACATTAGCTGTGTACCAATCAGGGGCTTCCTAGAATACATAAAAACAAATCAAAGCAAAGTTCACCGACTGAAGTGAAGTCAATTCCAACTCATAGTGACCCAAGACAACAGAGCAGAACTGTCCCACGGGATTCCCAGGACTACTTTATGGAAGCCAACTGCCACATGTTTCCCCCAGTAGCTACAAACTGCTGACATTTCCATTAGCTATCAAATGCTATACAATGAATAAGGATGACAGAAGGAGAATTGATGCCTCCGAGCTGTGGTGTTGGAGAATAGTATGGAATATTCCAGGGACTGTCAAAAGAACAAACAAGTATGTCTTGGAGAAAGCACAGCCAGAGTGCTCCTTGGAGGCAAGGATGGTGGAACTTTGTCTCACATACTTTGGGCATGTTGCTGTTGTTGTTGTTGTTGTTGTTATGTGTCGTTGAGTCGTTTGTGACTCATAGCGACCCTATGTACAACAGCCCTAAACCCTGCTCTATCCTGTGCCAATCACATTGCCTCTGACACACCCATCCTGATTACCCCAGTCACTGAATCAATCCACCTCATAGAGGGTCTTCCCCTCCTGCACTGTCCCTCTACTCTACCCAGCATGATGTCCCTCTTCAAAGACCTGTCTCTCCTTGCAACATGTCCAAAGTATGTCAGACGAAGCCCCAGAATCTTTGCCTTCAAGGAGTAGCCTGGTGTAACCCTCTCTAGGATGAATCTGTTTGTTTTCTTGGCAGTCCATGGTACATTCAATACTCTTCTACAACACCACAGCTCAAAGGCGTCAATTCTCCTTCTGTCCTCCCTAGTCATTGTCCAGCTCTCTGAGGAATAACAAGTGATTGCAAAGACCATGGCCTGTATCAGGTGCACCTTCGTCTCCAAAGAGACACTGTTGCTCTTGAGTACTTTAGAGAGGTCCCTAACAGCAGACTTTCCCATCGCAATACGTTTTTTTATTTCCTGGCTGCTGGTGCCAAGAGTGTTGACTGTGGAGCTGAGCAAACTGAAGCTCTGAACAATCTCAATCTCTTCGCCATCCATCCTGATGCTACCAATTGGTCCAGTGGTGAGAATCTTTGTCTTCTTGACATTGCGCCTCAGTCCATACTGAAGGCTGCAGTCCTTGACCCTCTGCAGTAAGTGCATGAGGTCCTCCTCAGTTTCAGCGAGCAAGGTTGTGTCATCTGCATAATGCAGATTGTTATGCATGTTGCTAGGAGA